AAGGACCCACATGGACATAAATACTTATAGAAGCTCTTTTGTGGTGGCCAAGAATTGGAAATTGTGTGGATGCCCATCAATTGGGAAATGGCTGAACAAGTTGTGGTATATGAATGTAATAGAATACTACTATTTCATAAGAAATGAGCAAGTAGAACCCTGAAAAACCTGGAAAGACTTGCATGAACTGATGTTGAGGGAATTGAGCAGAACAAGGAAAATATTGTACACAGCAACAGCAACATTGTGCGATGACCAACTTTGATCGACTTAGCTCTTCTCAGCAATGCAATGATTTAAGACAATTCCAAAAAGACTCATGACGGAAAATGCTATCCACATCCAGAAAAAGAACTATGGAGTTTGAATGTATAGCAAAGCATACTATTTTTCCTTATTTTCTTTTGGTTTTTTTCTTCCTCATGGTTTTTCCCTTTGGTTCTAATTCTTCTTTACAACATGACTAATACGGATATATGTTTAATATGACTGCACATATTTGGTCTATATTAGATTGCACACCATCTGGGGGAGGTAGGCAGGGAAGGAGGGGGAGAAAATTTAAAACTCAAAAACTCAAAAGCTTATAAAAGTGAAATGTTGAATTCTAAAAACAAATAAATATTTAACAAAACAAAAAAAGGACCATCTTTTTTTATACCAATTTACTCCAGCTGATACTTTAGAGGGACAAATCATGGAATAAATATCACAGTCTAAGAAGAATAAAAATTTTCATTTTCATAGGGATAAGGACTGGGGCTCTGATTACGAGTATACGAAATGCCTGTTCCCAGTACAGGTCAGCACCTTCTCTATATCTTACATATTCTTAGAGACAGTGAGTGGCTCTATGAGCCTGAGTAAATCATTTAACCTCTCTGTATCCCAGATAACTCTTTCACACTATTACTTAACAGATTATCAAATATTCTACATTAGGAGGAGGAAAACTAGGCTGCTCCCTAAACCAAATGGAAAAAAAGGCATAAAGAAAAGGAACAACAAAAAGTATATTACCACAACTAGTCTGCTCTGTGTGTGTGTGTGTGTGTGTGTGTGTGTGTGTGTGTGTGGTTTGTATATGAGAGAGATATGGAGAGAGACAAAGACAGAGACAGAAATGCAAAGAGAAATAGAGAGATAGAGACAAAGACAGAAACAGAGAGACACTGAGTCACAGAATGCCAGATAGATAGAGGTTGGTGTAGAGAGCCAAGCCAAAATTACAAAGACCTGATGAAGAAACTGAGGCCCTGGCAGTGGCTTGCTCAAGTGAACAAAGAATAAGCAACTATACCCAAGCCGCACCCCTGACCCTTAATCTTACACAGCTAAGACTATAACTAACTGGCTTTCTCTGTCTGTCTATCACACACAACACTCATTTCATCTCCATGCCTTTGCACTTGTTATCTCTCGTACCTGATGTGCACCCCCCCACCCATGCCTCATAAAATCCCCCTCTTCCTTAAATGAAGGTCAAATATCACCATTTACATGAAGACTTTCCTGATTCCCCCTAACGCTAGGGCCCTCAACTCACTCCCTTTGACTTTATGACAGAATGTAAGCTTTTTCAGAAAGGAAGTTGTTTTATTCTTCGAATTTATAATCCCCAGCACCATAGCACTGTCTGGTGCTTAATAATTGCTCCTTGATTTTAATGTAGTAGTGAGGGACTTCATTTATACAGACTAGTGAGCCCTCAGCCAAAGGATGAACAGCTAATATTTTTTCAGATTGCCTTAGTAATAGTCAAGAAGTGGAAGGATCAACAAGGGGAACTATCTGCAGTGTCAAACTCAAACAGAAAGGGATTCCTGGGGCTGCACGTTGACTTAGAAAACCCTAAGTTAACACTATCTGTGTTGAATTGTATTTTTCTTTTGTTAAACATTTCCTAATTACATTTTAATCAGGTTCTGCCTGTACTTGGGAGTTCTGCAGTGTGTGCCCTCAGCCTTGAGTTTGAGTTCTCTAGTGTTTATGACCTCCTCAAACATTATACCTGCTGCCTCTGAGCCTCTTTCCAAGCAGTTACCCAGACCTCAAACGCTCTACCTCATCTCTACCTTTCAGAATCTCTTCAAGGTTCAGTTTTAAGGCCATCTCCAGATTTCCTGATTCTCCCAGTTATCCTATGCTCTCCTTCACTCCACCTCCAAACATTTTTGTAAATACTGGACTTCTTTATTTGTGTACCTGTGGAATGTAAGATCTTTGAAGGCAGAGACTGCTTCCTTTTTGCCTTTGTAGCCTCACAGTAAAACTTAATGATTACTGAATTGCTGAGGTGAATTTTTCTGCTTGGCCCCACATGGCAGCAATAGGAATGACAGGTGAAAGCTGCAGAGGCAGGTTTCTATATAAGGAAAAACTAATACTTAGTACTAATACTATCTAAATGTAAAATGAGTTGTTGCAAGAGGACATCAGTTTCCCCTCATTTTAAATGAAGGATGAATTGCTCGAAAGAGGGAGAGGGATTTTTACTATTGCAAAGTGACAGGCTGGGCCAGATGACTGTTAAAAGTTTCAAAGCTTTTAACACAGAATCACAAAACCTCCAAATCTGACATTTTGTAATTCTATATTAAAAGTATTCAAACAATTATCTCTAATGATGTTTATGAATATCATCAAGGACTTCCTACTAAGTAGATTTCTGAACTAAAAATATCAAATTTGTCTTTAATCTGAATTTTCAGAAAAGACTTAAATTATCCCATGCACCAAAGCAAACAAGGCAGTAAAGGACATTGGAACAATGTAATGCTATTGAATTCAATAGTCAATATATACAATATTCAATTTAAACAATTTAACTGCCTACGGGCAACAAGCATTGCGCAACACTGAGAATACAGATACATTTTTTTAAAAGTTTCTTCCTTCAAAATGCCTATATTCTACTGGACGCATTTCAAAACCCTATGGCCCAAGATTTCTATTGAATATTCTCTAAGTAGAAGAATATTTTCTGTAATCAAAAAGCATTTACTGACCACCTATCATTTCCCTTTTCCCTTACTAGGCAAAAATGAAGAAGAATCACAGATTTACAAGAGGAATTTTTAGGTTCAAATCCCATAAATAGTTGTCAAAATATTTTTTTATAAAACAAGTCCACATCAGAGTTTAAGAGCCTCTGCTTGGAGACCATGGGGCCCAACACTCTCATTTTAAAGATTAGGAAACTGGGGATCCAGGAGATTAAATGACTTCCCCCAAGGTCTCACAGTGACAAAGATGGGATTTGAACCAAGGTCCTCTTTCTCTAGAGACAGTACACTTTCCACTGTATTCTCCTCATGAACTGGGGAAGAATTTAGTGCATCCATGAAACAAAAAAATTAGTTCCTTTTTAAAAAATAACACTCTCACTTCTGTTTTAGCCAAAGGTTATAAAAATCAGTTCTCTTAAATATGCAGTTACTACATCCTAGAATTTCAGTTTTATGGAATACTGCAAGAAACCTGATGAAGTTATGTTGCTGGAAAACTCAGTTATCACATGTGGTTACTGTTCTTGAAGCAATGTGTATGAACTTCAATTCTTGCTTTATTAATGCTTTAAGGATAAAATTCCACCGCAGCCAACTTGACACTCAATTTATAGTTTGCTGCTGGCTCTGCCACCCAGATGTAGGGGGCAGAAGGCTCTACTTCAACTTTACTTATCCCCCAGCTTCCTTCAAAAGCTGTCTCCCCTCCAAAACGCACTACCACTAGATACCTATTTCCTGTTTTAACAGAACTGAATGCGAAAATGGTGTTTAATATAAAGTTTACTTCAATTTTGTTAGGAAACCTTCCAACTGACGGTATTTGTTATACAAGATCATGGATTTAGAGCCAGAAGGGACCTAAAAGATTTAATCAGTCCATTTAGTATACTTATGTGTGTAGAAAGTCACTAACTCTACATTAAACAATTCAGAGAACAAACAACTTGATGTGGGGGTGAAAAAAAACCGACAAATTCTTTGACTAAAATAATATCCTTATTCCCTAAAAAAAGTTTCCTTGTTAAATATCCTCCACTCCCTACTCCTGTTAAAGATCCTCCAATTCCTACTCCTGTTTTAGCTACGGGTTCTGAAAAAATCAGTCCTCTTAGAAATATAGATACCTTATGCTAGAATTTGAATCTTATGCAATAAGATCTAAATATCCTAATATCCTAGGATTCACTAGTTTCAACACTTGTGAAACAATTACATCACTAATTTACTTTTCCTTAGGTAGCTCTCCCTTCTGAGCACATAGTCGAAAACTAGGGCTATTCAGGAGCCTAGAAAAAAAGATCAACACTATATATGCCGATTTTACAGTATGCAAACACACACACAACTTGGTAAAACTTACGGTAAATAACGCACACAAGGTCAATAAATAAATATACCATCAAGGATAACTGCCCTAAATCTTTTGTTGTTGCTGTTGTTGTTCGTGCCTCAGACTCTTTGGAGAGTTTAGTGAAGTCTGTGAACTCCTTCCCGGGATGTTTCAAATAATGTTCATAAATAAAATATATCCTCAAGAAAACTCCCAAATACCCAGAATCTTTTTTTTTGTGGGTCATGGAGTTTACTTAAGCCTATGAATCCCTTCCCAGGATGTTTTCAAATATTACGAAGAGGGTCAGTTATACTGCAATTAAATTATCAAAATATGTATTTAAAAATATACCAAGTTTGGACACCCCTGGACCCAAGCCCGGACCTAAACCCCTGCGGGCGACTACGCGGCTACCCCAGGCCGGGCGAAGGGGAGCGGGAGGAGAGCCGGGCACGCCCGAGGAGCGCGGCCTCGGGCGCAGGGCAGCCCCGGCTGACAGCCGGCCTGGCCCTGGGGAGCAGGGGCCCCGACCGGGGCCGCCGCGGAGCTCCCGAGCACCGACAGTCGTGGCTCCGGGGGGACAACTCAGGGCCCCGGGGCGAGGGCCTGAGGCCTAGCGGGAGGCCCGAGACCCGGGAGCGGGGCCGCGGCCTCACCCTCTCATGGTGAACTTGACCACGGCGAGTCTGGAGCCCGCGCCGCTCAGCTCCGGCTGGAAATCCGGGTCGGCCCCGACCACCTTCACTCCCACCATGGTCGCGGGAGGGGCCTGCAGGGAGCCGAGGCCGCGGCACCACCGCTTCGGGACCGAAGAGGGAGGACGCCCAGGGGAAGCGGGGACGGAGACGCGCTGACGCCGCAGCGGGTTCTCTTCACTGCGCCCGACGTGCCGAGTCACGCCAGGGACGGAGTGGGGCCGGCGGCTTGGGGAGGAGGGCGGGGGGGCGGGGAGAGGCGAGGAAAAGAAAGCGTGGGAGCACCCAGCAGCCACTGCGCGGGACAGAAGACTTCACTCCACCTCTCCTCGTCCCCTCCTCGCGCTCGGGTAGGCGCGACCTGCCGCGCGTCGCGGAATACGCGCCCGCTCTCTGTGCGTCATTTCCGCGCTGCCCTCCGACTGCGATCCAGAAAGGAAAGCGCCTTTCTCTACCTGCAGTAGTTACGTCCTTGCCCTCAAACTCCCCGCCTACAGGATGTTGAGCTGCGTGTTCTTTGCACTTTACTGTTAGTACTGATTTGGAGGTGGGCGAGTCACGTGAGCTTGACTTGTGCTAAAGGTCGTTGTGTGACTCTAATGAGAGATCGATGCCCAAGTCTAGTGACTAAGTGTTTATATGCTGTACGTCACGCACTAGTTAGACAAGCCTTTCAGTTTTAATTTCCTTATCTATGAAATGGGGATAACAAAAACAACAACAAACAACCAAGTTAAGGGCTGCCAGGTGAAGCAGTTGATAGAGCGCTGGGCATAGAGTTAAGGAAGACCTAAGTTCAAATCCACCCTCAAACAGTTACTAGATGTGTGACCCTGGGCAAGTCACTTAACTCTGCCTCAGTTTCTTCATCTGTAAAATAAGCTGGAGAAGGAAGTGGCAAGCCACTGCAGCATCTTTGCCAAAAAAACCCAAAATGGGGGCACAAAGAGATCACAGAAGGAATTGAACAATAAACCAGGTTGCTGTGAGGAACAAATACACAGTATATGTAAAGTGCCTTGCTAACTTCAAAGTGCCATGTACAAATTGTCATTATTAATTATTAATGTGATCCCTCCTTACCTTCACCTCTTAGAGTCCCTATCTTCCTTTAAAAAGTAGCTCAGAGTCTTACACTAAAATAATATCTTTACCATAAAATCAGTCACTTTGAATTAGACATCCAAAGTGTCTCAAACTCAGAAGGTTCAAAACAGAACTCATTTTCTTTCCCCTAAAGCCTGTCCCTCTTCTGAACTTACCTAATACTATCCAGGACATCACCATCCTTCCAATGACCCTGGTTCAAAGCCTTAGTGTCATCATCAACTCTTCACTCTTACCCCATGTATCTATTCAATTGCTTTGTCTTCTTTCTCCTATCATTAATGAAGAGGTATTACTAGCTGCTTTATTGCTACACTTTAAAGGATCATGAGACCTTTCCATTTGACTTGCAGCCAAAGTGGAATGTTAGGGGATTGGGGGAAGAGCAGTGAGTCTGCAGGCTGGATGTTGAAATGTTGCAGATGGATGGGATGTGAAACATGGTCTGGTTGGGGGCCAGGTAAATATAATGAAATAAATTGGTGAGCTGGTACTAACCAGTAGAGTTTGTACTCACTTAGCCCTAGGGTGGTAGTTTCAAAACTGAGTAAATTAGCTCCCCTAAGACATTGTAGAAGTCTAGTCTGGAGAATCCAGTTCCAGGTGGAGAGAAGTAGATTAGGGTCAGGACAGATGGCAAAATGGCCAAGGTGGGCAATTGTATGGGATGGGAAGCATAGGCTGGTTAGGTCTTAGGGCAGTTCCAAAACTGAGTCGATTAGTTGTCCCCGGATAAGGATAAGAGCAGAGAAGGTAGATGACAGGAATAACCCTGGATCAGGTTAGAGGGTTTACAATGTGTGAATGATGGAAAGGCATATTGCAAAGGGAAAAGGAGGAGTTTCCTATTACAGACAGTTCCCTCTTACAGACCTCGTTCTCCCCTCGAGGGGGTATTTGTGCTCCCAACCCCTCAGCAACCTTGAGCCCCATAGCCAGAGCAGCTTCAGTGCCTGGGCTTTCCCCCATCCCCTAAGTCTGAGCCACTTCAGTGTCTGGAACAGAAGACCACTGTCACAGGGCAGCAATGTTCTGCCCCTACTAGGAGTTGGAGCCAGACCCCTGGCTGGATCAGTATATGCCCACCAAGGAGAAGAATCTGCATAATGTGAATTTATGTAAAGCAAGAAGTGCCGGTAGTTTATTATTATCCAGCTCCTCCTCACCTCTCCCTCTCCAAACAATATGCAAACTTCCAAACTCTCCCCCTTCTATGCCAACCATATAAGGTATCTGGGGCTGTTAACCAATCTGGACACCCTGGACAGGATAACATCCCTTCCCTCCCCCATTGTACTTGTTGTCATGCCCCTGCTCCTCAGCTAGCCCTAGGATCTGGAGCAGTGGCCTGGGAGTGAGAACCCCACTCCAGCCTTTTGTTTTTAGGAAACAGAGTGAGTCACACAGGGTGAACAGTCATGGATGATTTGCAGACTCATCCCTCTTTTAAACATACCTATTTCTGAGTACATCACCATCCCTCCAGTTACCCAGGTTTGCAACTTCAGCATCATCCTCAACTCCTCATGCTTACTCACCCGCAGCCCTGTCTTCCTTCTTCTACATTATCTCTTGAATCTCTCCCCTTCTCTCTGTTCCCACAGCTTCTACCCTAGTTTCATCCCTCAGCAGCAAATTGCTTAAAAGCAGGGACTGTTATACTTTTCTATTTGTATCCTAGGGCTTTGCACATAGTAAATACTTAATAAATATTCATTCATTCCACACATAACTACCACCCTAGCATCACCTCACCTGTTCAGTCTCCCTACCTCAAGCCTCTCCCTTCTCCAATCTATCCTCCACACAGTGCCAAAATGATTTTCCTTAAGTGCAGGTCTAACCATGTCACGACACACACACATACTCACACACAAACACACACTCAATAAATTCATCTGGATCATTAAAAAGATTCCTAATTGGTCACCCTACTTCAAGTGTTTCACCTTTCCAATCCACAACATTCTTCTGCTCATTACACTTCAGTGGCTCCCTATACAGTATAAAATAATATCTTTCCTGTTTACCATAAAATCAGTCACTTTGAATTAAACAACCTATAAGTATCTCAAACTCAGAAGGTTCAAAACAGAGCTCATTATCTTTTCCCACAAGCCCACCCCTCTTCTGAACTTCAATAATACTATCCAGGGTAGCACCATCCTTCCTATGACCCTGGTCATAGTCCACAATAGTCTGTAGAGTCAAACATAAATGCCTGTGTTTATCATTTAAAGCTCTTCACAATGGGACCTCAATCTACCTGTCCAGCCTTATCATACATCACATCCCTTCCTGCCCTCTATGATCCAGCCAAACTTGCCTTCTTGAGAATGAAAAGGAATAAATATTTATGTAGGACCTACTTCATGCCAGGCCCTATGCTAAGCTCTTTATAAATGTTATCTCATTTGATCTTCACGAGGAGGCTGTTATTATCATTGAGGGAACTGAGGTTAAGTGAGTTGTACAGGATCACACAGCTATGTATCTAAGGCTGGATTGGATCTCAGGTCTTCCTGATACTGGGGCCCAGGCTTTATCCACTGCACCACTTAGCTATCTATTTATTGCTACTTGCTGTTTCATCCTTGCAATAGACTGTATGAGAGTCTGAAATAAGGTAAGGGTTGTGTAAGTAGAAAGACAGGGACAGATGAGAGAGATATTATGGAGGTTGAAGTGATAAAAATTCACAACTGACTGGCTATGGAGATAAGGAGGACAAAGCTAGAGTGAAAGGTCAAGGATGACTCTGAGGTTATGAACTTGTGTGATTGGAAATTGGCAGTACCCTCAAGAGAAATAAGGATGTTAGGAAAGGGGGCTGGATTTATAGGAGAAAGGGTAATGAGTTCTGTTTTGGATATTTTGAGCTCGAGATGCTTGTGGTAAACACAATTGGAAATGTCCAATAGGCAATTGGTGATATAAAACTGGAAACTCAAGAGAGAAACCAAGGTTAGATATGTAGATCTGGGACCTCTTGGCACAGAGATGATAATTGAGCCCATAGGAGTTGATGAGATCATAGAGAGAGCTTGTAAAGAGAAAAGAGCACAGGATAGAGCCTTGGAAGTATACCCATTGTTCGAGGGAGGGACATGGATGATAATTCAAGAAAACAGCCTGCAGAGTAGCCAGGTAGGAAGCAGGAGAATGAAGAGAGTATCTAGAAGAGGGTAGCCAACAGTGACAACTGTTCCAGATGGGTCAAGATGAGAATTGGGAAAAAGCATTAGACTGGAAAGTAATCTCACTCTAAGTCAAATAAGAATTTAGTCCAAAAAAGCTGAAGCAACATCAAAGAAGAAATGAGTTCAAAAGATTGTCTTAAACACCTCAGGGCTTTCCTAGCTAGCTGCCTAGATGAGGCTTGCTGGGGTCTTCATTTCAAAACATCTCGTATCCTGAGCTTTTCAGAACCAAGACCCTAGAAGTTGCCCATTCCAAGAGAAGGCCAAAAGATAGCACCAAAGAGCAGATGCAGCTGTAGGGATTCCTGGTAGCAAACAGTTTTTAAAAAGCAAGAGAAGCTCAGCAGATATAACCATCTAGGATAGTGTAATGACATTATTAGAAATGATCTCTTAACTGCAGAATCTAATGGTCTTTGCTGAATCTTCATCATTCTTGACATCTCTACAGCCTTTGACAATCAGTCACCCTCTTTTTGATACTCTCTTCTCTCTAGATTTTCACCACATTGATCTCTCCTGGTTTTCCTATTGTTTGATTAATCTTTCTCAGTCTCCTTTGCTGGGTCTTCCTTCAAGTTGTTTGGCTGTCCCCCAGGGATGTGTCCTGGCTCCTCTTCTTTTTTTTCTCTCTATACTATTTAACTTGGTGATCTCAACAGCTCCTATGGGTCCAATTATTATCCCCACAAAATAAACTATCTTCTGACCTCCAGTCTTGCATCTCCAATTACTTATTGGACATCTCAAAATGGATGGTTTCTAGACAACTCAAATTCAGCATATACAAAACTGAATTCGTTATCTTTCCCCCCCAAGACCCTCCCCTCTTCCTAACTTCGCAGTGACTTTCCCAGGGTACCACTTCCTCACAGTCACCCAGGCTTGCAACTTAGGTGTTATCCTCAACTTCTCATGCTCACACCCCCTATACAATCA